GGCCTGAAGTGGCAGGACAAGCGAGCGGGAGAAGGCATCGCATGAGCGGGACGCCACTTTCGGCGCGGTACCCACGCATTCGCGCATTTCACGCTATTCTGCGCGGATGAGACAGTGAGTCTCCGTGGCTCGCTGGACGAGACCGCAACCCGACCTACCTTGTCCCGCTACAGCCTCGCCTCCGAACCGAAAACCGATCTCTCCACCCTCCTCGCATTCACATACTGCGGTCCCAACTCCTTGACGCTCCGCACGCCCAACAACTTGCAACACCTCACGATCTCCTCCTCCAACACCCTCGCAACCTTCTCAACCCCGTCCTCGCCATACACGAGCGAGTACATGAATGGCCTGCCGAGCGAACAGGCATGTGCGCCGAGACAGAGCGCCTTGACGATGTCGGTACCGCGGCGCAGGCCGCCGTCGAGGATAACGGTGAAGCGTGAGGGGGAGGCGAGGAGCTGCGGCGCGGATTGGCGGATCTCGAGGAGGACTTCAAGTGGTGTCGAGGCGCTGAGGAGTAGCGACTGATCGTCAGACTAGACCCGACTGGGGCGAGAGAGGTATCGAACGAACGTGTTGACCTGCCGCCCTCCGTGATTCGAGAGGAAGATCCCGCTTGCTCCGTACTGCTCAGCAAGGATGGCGTCCTCGACGGTGTGAATGCCCTTGACGAGAATAGGAAGACCGCCAGACGCTTTCTTGACCCATTCAAGATCTTTCCAGCTAAGCGAGGCGTCAATCGTGCTGTGAGAGCAGGCCACGCGCGTCAGTTTAGGTTTTGTGCAGTAATTGAGTGAGCGCACGCACGCCGAAGTGGTAGCCATAGCGAACGCCTTCTTTCCCACCTCAATCCCCGGATTCGCCAGCAACACCGTGTTCTCGTCCAACCCCGTTCGCAAATCCAGCTCGCGGTTGCCTGGCACAGCAACGTCGACGGTGACAATGACGGCCTTGTAGCCGAGTTCCTTCGCTTCGGCGAGCTGCTTCTCGGAGCGCCAGCGCTCGCGGTGGACGTAGAGTTGGAAGAAGAGCGATTGGGAGGGGAGGGCGGCGGAAGCGAGGTCGCGGTGCGAGACGGATGCGTGGTTAGAGGGCTACAGGCGCGAGATGTCAACTCGAGGAGCAGCGTGGATAGGTGAGGCGCCGTAGAGGGTAGTGGAAAAGGGACGCACTGCGTACGGAATCCCGACTCGGCCCGCGCCCTTCACAATGCACATCTCGCCGTCTTTGTGAGCCAGTTCTGCGCGCACACAATCGAGGCGTCAGCGCTCTGACTGCTCTCGCGACTTAAGCGAAGCGAGCGAGACTCACTGCCCATCGCAGCCGGCGAGATCATGAACGGCAGGCGACTCTCAATTCCCGCAATCCTGACTCGCAAGTCGACGTCGCCTCCTACGTCTCGCAATACTCGAGGACGGAAGCGGACGTGCTGCCAGATCGACTTTGACTGCTCGGCGGTCCAGCCGTCGTCTGCGGCAGATGCGTAATAGGCCCAGGACTGCGAGAGGCGAGAGATCGACTAATCAGTGATCGTATTCCTGATAGATGGGGACAATCCTCGCACCTTTGGCTTGAGCGTCGCCTCGGCACTGCGCTCAAAGTCGTCGAGGTTGAGCAGCGAAGAGAGGGGTGTAGTCGGGGTCGGAAGCGGGACGGCCATCGTGCACGAGTGCTCGAGCGAGTCTACCGTCGTCTATGCGAGTCTGAGCGAGTTGTTCGGCGACAAGACGAGCCGGAAGTCGACGAGGTGGGGGAGGTGAAAGGGCGGAGAAGCGAGGACGTAGCGAGTCACGCAGTCACGAGCGGCTTCAGCAGTCACAGCGAGCGAGTCAGACACAGCAACGAGCTCCTATCGAGTGGAAGGCGTTGTTGGCGAGAGTCAAGAGGGACGAGGACAGGACTCGAGAGGGTCGACTTCCCACGACGACGCGTTCACGATGGCTGCCAGGTTCGACAAGCGCGCAATGGGCGAGCCCATACACAGCACATCTGCCGACGAGCGCCCGTCCCTCCGCTCGTTCCAGGAGGAGCTCCAGCAGAAGGCGAAGGCGGGGAGGGAACTCGCACACCCTCGCAGGGCGCAGGATGCGGCGGGACTCGCAGAGGTCGCCGACAAGGTGCACGAGCTCAGCATTGACGAAGGCGACGCTCCCGACGGCGGCGATGGCAGGACGCTGAGGGTGAGTTCGCCTCCTCCCGACTTGATGAGGGCTGTGGGGGTCGAATTCGAGTTGTACGAGCGTGGGAGTTATATACGGACGCTGACAGCCTCGACATACACCTGCAGGACCGGTTAGCGAGCCCGAACGAGGACGACGTCGCCGCGATAGCCACCCTCCTCGACCGCACCCTCTCGCGACGACATGGAGAGCTTGTTCTCCAGGTGCGCTCACATAGCTCGCTCTGCAAGGCCAGGGGCGTATGCTGACACTCGTATACGCTCTTCTCAGATCGGCTCGCACTCCCTCGACGAGACGACGCTCGCCGCCCTTCTCGAATTCCCTGACTCGAAGACTCTCCCTCCCGCCGACACTGCCGTCCTCACTCCCGCTCAGATCGACGCTATCCTCTCGACGTTACACTCGGCCGTCTCCACCATAAGCAGCGACGTCTCGATCCTGCACAACCCGTACGACGAGTCGGGCAAGGCTCGAGTTGACGAGTCTGCCCAGTTGACGCCCACTCCGAGCGCGGTCAACGATGACGAGACGGCGAAGCGATGGAAGGGCAAGGCTCTGAGGTTGCTGGTGCGGAAGAAGCCGGAGGGAGCCGAGGAGTTGCTCGAGTCGCGAGTGAGCGTCGTCGGCAACGTCGATGCGGGCAAGAGTTCTCTCCTTGGGGTCCTCACGCGCGGACGACTCGACGACGGGCGAGGACGAGCACGCGTCTCGCTCTTCCGCCACAAGCACGAGATCGAGACTGGACGGACTTCGTCGGCGGGAAACGAGATTCTTGGGTTCCAGCCGGATGGGAAGGCGATCGTGCCCGAGGAACATGCGAAGCAGCAGGCGACGTGGGAGAGTATTGCGCAGAAGGCGAGCAAGGTCGTCTCTTTTACCGACTTGGCCGGACATGAGAAGTACTTGAAGGCGCGTTAGGCGGCTCACCTCGACTCTTAGCATCTTACTGACCCCAGCGCGTTCGCAGACGACGTTGGCCGGCTTGACCGGCACTGCACCTGATTTTGTACTCCTCATCATTGGTGCAAACGCAGGCTTAATCGGCATGTCGAAGGTTCGTCCCGCTTATCCTCCTCTTCCTTCTCACCTCATTCTCACTGAGTTTGCCCTCTCGCAGGAACACCTCTCCGTCGCCCTCGCACTATCGCTCCCCATCGTCTGCGTCATCACCAAGGTCGACTCGACCCCAGCGCCAGTTTACGAACAGACGATCAAGCAGCTCGTCAAGATCCTCAAGAGTCCTGGGTGTAGGAAGAAGCCTGTCTTCGTGCGTCATTTCCAACTCGGTACGGCTTGATGGTGCTGACAGATGTGTGTGTTGGACAGGTCAACGATGTCGGCATGGCCTGCGAGCTCGCGTCTGGCTTTGCGGCGGAGAAGGCCTGCCCGATTTTCCGCTGCAGCAACGTCACAGGCGAAGGCCTCGACCTGCTGAAGGTGCGTTACGAGCGAACGACTTGCGTCGATCCTCGTGAGAGCGAGACTGACGCTTTCCTCTTTCTGCTCACTTGACGCGCAGACTTTCCTCAATGTTGTCCGCCCGACGCACACGGATGAGCTGTACCCCGTCAATGCCGATTTCGAGTTCGCGACTTCGGACGTCTACTCTGTACCTTTCGTACGTCTAGCTCCAACGTTCGAGTCAGCCTGTCGCTGACCTTGCTGAACTTCGGCCGCACAGGTCGGAACGGTCGTCTCCGGCGTCATCCTGGCTGGGTGCGCTCACTCATACCGCTCACGCAGCGCCCGCACAAGCTGACGAGACGTCCTCCGGCAGCTCCGTCCGCCCAGGCGACACGCCCCTCCTCGGTCCCGACTCAGTCAACTCCTTCATCCCCGCCTCAATCAAGAGTATCCAGCGCAAGCGCGTCAATGTCGACTACGCCGAGGCCGGTCAAGCCGTCACGCTTGCCTTGAAGCGCATCAAGCGCGCGCAGGTTCGGAAGGGGATGGTGCTTGTTGCGAGGGGGGAGACGCCGCCTGTTGCGACGAGGAGGTTCGAGGGGCAGTGCTTGATCTTGTACCATAATACGTACGTCCGAGTTCTCCGAGCGCGCCTGACTCGCCGTCGGGATCAACACCTCTTGCGGCGATCAGAATTGACGAGCTCGCGCTCGTGCAGCATGATCACGTCGCGGTACCAGGCGATGATGCACATTGGTGCCGCACGCCAGACCGTCCAGATTGAGAAGATTGTCGAGAAGCAGGCTGTCCGCACTGGAGATCGCGCGACGTGCGTCTAGGTCTCCGTTCCTCCCTTTGGCCGAGCTGACCTCGTAACTGCGACAGTCTGCGATTCCGCTTCATGGCTCGCGCCGAGTACATCCACGTTGGCGACCGTTTCCTCTTCCGCGAGGGTCGAACGAAGGTGAGACGGTCCGCACTCGTTCACCAAGAACTCCCTCGGCTCACCCGCTTCTCTCGCAGGCACTCGGCGTCGTCACGCGTCTCTTGCCAGACAATGGCAAGGATGCAGATGGTCCTGACGCTTGAACGCCTCGACGAACCCCTCCCCTGTCCATTCCCTCGTGTCGTTGTTTCTCTCTATCCCCTCGTGCCCGCTTGTTGCTTTACTGGTCGCACTCGCAAACCTGTTGCAATCGCTCTTCCGCACTCGCACGCCCTCCTGCCGACTACACTCGAACGCGTCCTCGTCTCGCCCGGCTCTTCCTCCTCGCTTTCCTTTGTTTCCGCTCGCTCGCGCTCAGACTGGCGCTGGACCGGCTGCGAGCATGTCTGCTGTCTCGAATGCTCAGGCTAGCAAACCCTTCCTCTCGGCAGCGGACGACCTGATCACGTACGCTCCCCTTCCCGCTCGCCATTCAACTTGACGCGTCTCGCTCGATGTTGACCCGCGCTGACGGGCTCGCTCGCCTCGTGGACACAGTCGTCTCTTACTCGACTACTCGATCTTCGGAGAGGACCGCCTCGGGAGGGCGACGGGCAAGATTGAGGACCGTCGCGAGTTGAGGATGAACGACGGAGAGGTCGAAACGGCGCGGCAGCTCGTGCAGCGGGTTCGTCCGACTTCGCTTATCGTGCTGCGTAATTAGATCAGGGTGTAAAAGCGGGCGAACGTCGTGGGAACGCCTTTTCGCCCCGTTGACGCGAGGGAGGCTGGTTCGGGCGCAGAGTGGGCGGCAGTGGGTGGGGAAGGACGTTGACTTTGCTCGCTGTCGACTGACACTTGCTCTCTCGACGGCGACGACAGATACGCCAGGGCACCATCACTGTCAACGACGCGCTCGAGGAGTTCCTCGCTCTTTCCCCCGTCCGCTCGTTCTGTTCTCGCTGGGAAGAGGACGACGGCCCCTTGATCTTTGCCAATCACGCCAAACGCTACATCCTTGCCCTACGACCCGAATCGGGAATCGCCTTCCACGAGACGGACCGGTACAAGAACCCCCGAAACGGTCCGCGGGGGAAGAAGCGCGCCTCTCTTCCCGCCACGACCTCGCGGCGAGACCCCGAGACGTTCATCGAAGTCGGCGTCTTTGCCACTCGGAACTTCAAGAAGGGCGAGGTCGTCAACCTGCGTGGAGGAATCGCCGACTTGACGGAGGAGGAGGACGACGAGATGCGCGATTCGGGGGGCAGGCGCGACTTTTCGGTCCTATGGAGCGAGCGCAAGAATTGCTTTTGCCTCCTGCTCGGACCGGCGCGCTTCGTCAATCACGACTGCCGCAACAACGTCGAGTTCCAGCTCGTTGGCGCGAACATGACCTTCAAGGTCCTCGAGGACATCAAAAAGGACGAGGAGATCTTCACACACTACGGTGAGTTGCGCATATTCATCTACAGCCACGTTTGTGCTGACCTCGCTTTCCTCAGGCGAGCACTACTTCGAGAAGGACAACGCCGCCTGCCTTTGCGCGACCTGCGAGCAGTTCGTGTTCGTTCCCTCGCCTCGCTCGATTCAATGCTTACAGCGATCGCGCGCAGGCTCGAGCAAGGCGCATTCACCTCTACGAAGAAGAAGGCGGCCGCACCAATCGCTCCGAGGGCGGCGGCGCCGCCTACTCCTCCTACTGCACCCTCTCGCCGATCCGGCCGCGCCGCGACTGTCGCCGCACCTAATTACTCGGAGGACGACCCACCTTCAGGCTCGGGTCACAACGTCTTAGCGAAGCGAAGTCTCCGCGACCGCGGTCTGGCTCGCTCCTCTTCGCTCTCCTCGCTGTCCAAAGCCACTCCGACAGCTTCGCCTCGCAGCGTTCGCCCTCCCTCGTCTCGCGTCGTACCCGTTCGGAACGCCCCTTCTCCCGCCGAAGCATTGCGCGGCAAGCCCCGCGCGGTCATCCAGCCCAAACTCCCTCCTCCTCCCGGTTACGCCTCCGACTACGTCTGGGACTGGCGTAACCGCGTCGCTCGCTACGTCGGTCCGAGCTACAGTAAAGCGGACGTCCCTGCACTCAAGCGCAAAGGCCTTTCGCGCTCGGCTTCGGCTCCATCGTCCCTCTCCGCACTCGGCAAGCGGCGACGCGAAGCGACCGACTCGCCTGCGCCGTCGCCGAAGGGCAAGAGCCGACTGCGCGACGATGAGGACAGTCCGAGGCCGAAGCGCCAGCGGTCTTTGCTTGTCAAGCTGAAGCAGGTCCGGCTCGGCGAGCGCTCCTCGACGCGCATCGCAGGCGGATCAATTTCAGCGCGCGAGCGGACGTTCGCCAAGTTGCAGAAGGCGCTGGGCAAGAGCGAGGGCGACGAGGACTCGGATTTGAGCGAGTTGGAG